ACACACACACACACACACACACACACACACACACACACACACACACACACACACACACACCATACACACGCGGGATAGCACGCAAATACACGCACACACACATACACACGCAAGCGCGCACACCCACGAACGCACAAACATACTACCAGGAGTTAATAAAGACAAATTTGTCTTTATTAACTTAAGACTAAGACAACTTAAATTTAAGACAACTTAAGACAACTTAAATTTAAGACAAATTTGTCGACATTTGTCTTTATTAACTCCTGATACTACGCACACGCACACGCAGCCAGGAAGGCAGGCAAGCAGGCAGGCAAGCCATATATACAATTCTATCTGAATGTACACAATTTACGTTTTATGAGCGGTCGGCCATGTCTGCACGAAAATAGGGCCGCTGCTGTACCCCATGTACACGTACTTCTGAATAAGGAGGGAGAAACTGTGCACATAAGATTACTGTCTCGTCACCTAGACGGCAATGTGTGTGATGATATTTTAAATGATAGCACGTAACAGCTCTTGCAAATGCAATGCATATTAGTTTTGGCAAAATTATTTATGGATGATATTAATCTACATCTATATTATCGTATGTAAATAAAAAGACAGTATCAAAACACAGCCGTCACTTGCATGGCAATACAATTATAAACGATATTACAACATAAGGACGCCAATTGCCCTTACTCACAATTGCAGCGCCTATATATGATTTTTAGCTTCACTGTATGATTGATGGAATAGTAACCTAGCTACATCTATGAACAGGCTTAGAAAAAAGTAACAATATCAATTAAAAGATTTAAAATTTAGAAATTTCAAGAAATAAATTTAGATATAAATGAGAATCGCAATTTCAAAATAAATAGAAAGTGCATGGTTATAACCAATTGCATACTTCGCACGAGGGTGCAGCTAGCTTGCATACTGTTTATAAGACCTACCTAATTCACAATTCGTAATCGTTGCGCGCATATATGGTCCCTAAAGACATTTTCACACCCAAAGCGATTTTCCCCGTTTAACATAGCAGCGAACGCCATTCTAAACGGTTCTGACACGACAAGGTTGAAATGACACTAGCTGCAACGGCGTCGATAATCAAGCTATATAAACTATATTGTACTAACAAATAGTGTGAAGGGGAAATTGAGAGGGAACGGAAGCAAAAGTGATCGCGCGCGGGAGAGGGTGCAGGTGGAAAAGTATGTGTGTGACAATACATGAGTCAAGAGTTGAAGAGAGAAACAAACATCAAGATCATTAAGCAGCTGTTGACAAATGTGTAACTTACTTCAGTCATTTAATTAAGCGGACACTGCATTTACATTATCCGGAATTTTTCATTTTATTTTGCGATTAAATTAGCTGGCACATAATAACTGCCACGTGGTGTAAGAAAGCAAATACGCTGACAAATATTTGTTTTAAATCATGTTTTAAATTTTTGTTTGCAGGAGATCTGCGCCAATCCTAAGTTGTTTGTGGAGGGAGCCAGCCGCTTTGATGTAAAGCAGGGAGAACTTGGTAAGTATAGTGCAAACATATGCGTAGAACGACAAACAGTGTTTCCGTTCTCTGTTTATGATGGAACAAGAACTTGCTGATTTTTTCAGCCCCTGGCATGTCTAAACAAAGTGCAGGATAAATGCCACGAAACCGTTACAAAAATAGAAAACTGTGGCTCAATCTATGAACATAATACGTTATTGATGACGTTTAGTGCCCTCTCAGAGACGTTCTACCATAAAAAAAACAAGGAGGTAATATTGAATTTAAGTTTTGAGTCTATATGGTTATATGGTTTTAGGCCTCATATACACGTTGACAACAAATCTCTGTGTGACTTTGCTTAAAGCGCTATGACATAGATCTATGCATTTACAGTTGCGTGAATGTGTGCTAGGGACAAAATTACATTTTATAGCATGATCTGTGTAGAAACTCGCAGCCTGCAAATGGTAACCTTACACCAAATATTTATATTATATACGCATTTTTGGTCAGCATGTCTGCATACATGAAACGTACACTAAATTATTACTTCACCTAAATTTCGAGAAGCAGATTGTGGCGCTCTTACAATAGCACTCGGGTGCACTGTCTAAGTAAAGAGTGCGAGTTTCTAGAATATCTGTGTCTGAGCAACCTAGCAAACTAGTGTCAAACGCCTGTAACGTGACCCAGGCAATCATTCCACGGACGAACTAAGCAAACAGGGATTCCCTTTCATGTTTGCTATTTTTAGCGCTCAGGAAATTGAACGAACCATAAATTATAAATTAATCACAATATGCGTATTTGCTGTTTATTCAAATTCTGCTGTATTTGGTAATACACTACATAGATTACTCAGATTGGGGGAAGTGCGCGCATAAACAGGTATATATATCTGCAGGGCCCGTAACGATTTCCCACCCATTATCCTTTTTCTCCCAGCGATTTTACACACGCGCTACTCGTAGCTAGCGGTGTGCGTATTATTGGCTGACCTCAAACAGCAAGACTGATCACAATGCTGTTATGTAATCATGGGTTGTGTGTGGTTGGGTGTATGCTTCGCAGTACATCTAGGTTCTTCGTTACAGCGCAGTATATCTAGGTTGTTTACTACAGTATGTGGTGGAAAAGCGTGATTCTTGTGACTGACAGCTAAAAAACCGGCGTTTGCGTGCACCTATCAATTCGCATCAGTATCAGTTCGGTTCCGTTGGTCAATAATTGTCCGCTATTTCTACATCGCGAGGTGAACTTGTTGGGGTAATACCACCAATCGCGTCTCGTAAAATAACCCCTGTTACAGAATAACCAACGCAACGGAGTTGCTGATGTCCTATATTCCACGTGGAACCAGAAGGAATCATAAAAAGTCCGTATTACACGCTTTGAAATACAGCTGCTGTATATTTTTACACGTCATGCATAGAAAAACACCGTGTCTAAGCAGAAAGCTGTCCGCCAAAGAATAACAACACACGAACGCACACGCCATTGGGGAATGCTAAGACCATGCTAATAGTTCTAGCGCGTGGTAGAGCCTATAATAAAAGCTACCCGTTCGCGTTCGATTTTATTAGTTTTATTTTTTTAGTTAAATAACCGCGTTGAAGCGCCGTTTCAAGTGAAAAATTCTCGTCATTTCCTGCCAGTAACTCCATAATATGTTGAATAAAGTTAAGATAAAATTAATATTGATAATCAATTAATAAATACAGATTTTTTCTTGGTAGTGCTGGAATATTTTTTATATTTTCGCACTGGCATGTGATTTTGAGAGTCATTTAAAATTTTTAAAAAGCATGTTCAGGTGGCATTGATGAATTGATTCGTTAACGGAGGAGTGTCTTCGTTGGCACGAGCAACCTAAGACGTTGCCAGTCTTAGTATAGTAGTTACTAATACTAATAGTAGTTAGTAGTACTATAGTAGTAATTTAGACAGGTTCTTGGAAGTTTTTAAGCAAGAAAAATGCTAGAAAATGGTTAATGGGGCGCTGGTTGGACACAGCTAGATGTTAGTTGGCCCAGAAGTTTTTTGCAGTTACACTATACAGGTCCCGAGGAACCCAGTTTAACTGTGGATATGCCATGCACTGTTATGTAATTTAATTGTATGTGTCAACAGGCGACTGCTGGCTACTTGCGGCCATTGCTTCTCTGACATTAAACCAGAACCTGCTACATCGTATCGTGCCCGATGGACAGAGCTTCAAGCCAGAGGAGTACTGCGGAGCCTTCCGTTTCAGGGTATATAGTAATTTACTTATGTTATGTTTATCGACTATCTTTATAGTGCTTCTATCGAAAGGCTTCCCCGGTATATTTCCTATTGTGATTTTCTGCAACGTGCTTACTAAATATTAATCGAGAATTATAATGACGATATGCAAGAATTATGGTAGAAAAGCCACTCGATAATTTTGTTGACGTGCTCTAATTTGATCAAACATCTCATGCATTATTTAATCCGAGAGTTAATAGCTTGTATTAAACACATGGCACTTTTATACAACTAGAATTTTTAGCTATCACTATTATCAGGAGTGTCATAATATAGATTGCGTGTATATGTTAAGCCACTCCTGCTATTATAGTGTTTAATTCCTTTATGCGCGCATACATAGTTGGAATCTCTCTCAATCTCTCTCTATAGTTCTGGCAGTATGGCTCCTGGGTGGAGATCGTGGTGGATGACCGTCTGCCAACGGCCAACGGACGACTTGTGTTCATGCACTCTGCCGATCATAATGAATTCTGGACTGCTCTGCTAGAGAAGGCCTACGCTAAGTATGAAGATTTACTTCCACATCCTGCTGCATCCATCTGTAGCGGCATGATAAAAAAACATTTGCTGCTGTATAACAAATGTACGCATACATACACATGCTGTAACACATGTACCGTGATAATTTTAAATGCCTAAGAATTTCTATGCTCTGAAATAATGTTTTTAATGAGTATTATAGATTTGATTGAGTTTCGATCATCGTACCCATATCCTGTGCGATTTACAGTAATGCTCGTATTTGTCCTACATGTGTTCAGGGCCCGATTTAGGAGTGGGCAGAGTGGGCAGCCGCCCACGGGCCTCCACAAACCAGGGGCCTCCACATATTTGATTTAAAAAAAAATTGTTAAGGAAAAATATAGGCTGACCTGAATGACATGCACGCAACCCGAATCAATCAAAACCAAACCGTTATTGTGCGCATTTTACATCTTACATACGTAAGACATAGCGGCATAACCCATATTGTATTTGTTTGTGAATGGTATAGTTAACTACAGGGGGAAACGTACCAACGGTTCAACGTAGCCAATATTCTCTCTCTTATTGCAGTTAACTTTTTTATTTTGCAAGATAGCCCTCTACACATGATATGTATCTATGTATTGTTACCTTTTAGTTTTTAGTATTCTTTCTAAGGTAGGGTGGGCCTCCACAAATGATGGCTGCCCACGGGCCTCCACATGTGTTGCTTCTCATACGAATTCTACGCAGGCTTAACGGTTCCTATGAATCACTGAAAGGCGGCAGCACGTGTGAAGCTATGGAAGATTTCACGGGAGGTCTTACTGAGATGTACGAGCTGGACAAGAGCCCACCGGCGAATCTTTTCAGGATCATGAAGAAAGCTTTGGAGCGCGGTTCACTCATGGGCTGCTCCATTGAGGTGTGTCCCTTGTTTGTTTAGGCTGGATTCTTTGTGCATATGTGCTTATGTGTACCAGACAGTATTTTTTTCTGGGAAGATCCGAAATATGGCCGTTCTTATTTCTTAATTTATCTGTTTATTTCACATTCACACAAATTCTTATGCATTTATCTGTTAGCGTTTGGAAAGTGTCTTAGGTGAGGTCTTAGGTCTTATATGATGATGTGATAGTGTAATGTAATGTAATGTAATGTAATGTAATGTAATGTAATGTAATGTAATGTAATGTAATGTAATGTAATGTAATGTAATGTAATGTAATGTAATGTAATGTAACGCAATGTCATGTCATGTGATGTCATATCATCTCATATCACATTATATTATATTATATATTATATTATTTTTGTTATAATTATACTATATATATATCTTCTTATCTTTTATTATCTTTCGGTTATCTTCTATTTTTATTATTTCAGGCTGATCCGCGTGTGCTTGAGGCAGAGTTAGCTAACGGCCTGATACGAGGACACGCGTACAGCATAACATCTTGTACTGATGTAAGTCACTGTGACACGGTCAGGAGAATGCATGCAAGCCTTATATGCCAACATTATCATCAACTAAAGGCCAATTTCGAACGGGCCCTGTATATTTTTAGCATTCGAGGTTCCATGCTGTTTAGGCTACTCGTAGTCGTGATCAGTTGATTTTATACCTACTCTTTGCTATATTCCTACTCTCAGGCCAATATTGAGACTCCTAGAATGAAAGGCAAGATGCAGTTGGTGAGAGTACGAAACCCGTGGGGCAACGAAGCCGAATGGAAGGGGGCGTGGGGCGACCAGTAAGTGCAAACCAACACCCATGTTAATGCAATGCAGTATTAACGCAATATTATATATATATCAGAAGTAGATAATAGGGATATATATATAGGATATATATATATATAGAGAGAGAGAGAGAGAGAGAGAGAGAGAAGAAGAGAGAGAGAGAGAGAGAGAGAGAGAGAGAGAGAGAGAGAGAGAGAGAGAGAGAGAGAGAGAGAGAGAGAGAGAGAGAGAGAGAGAGAGAGAGAGAGAGAGAGAGAGAGAGAGAGAGAGAGAGAGAGA